TATGTGTATGCCAATTCTGGCATCACAAATATCATAATCTTTAGAAGCCATTGAGCATCTGTATGGAAGGGTAATTTTATATTCCAAATACAATGATCAAATTTATCCATAAAAACATATAGATATTTTTGACAGAAAGGAGCCTCACCTTTCAAAGTCTTGCCTCTTCTGTCAAAAATAACATTTATGAAGCAGTATAAGTTTCACCATATATCTTTAAATATAATTTTTTTCTGAATTAGTAAGAATTTACAATTGAATATCCATGCAACTGTATCAATAGTCAGAAATTCTTTTCAATATTTTAAATTTTAAAAAAAAATCCCACTCTTGAGCTCTGTTTTTGTTTAGATCAGTAGAAATAGTAATTTATCACGGACTTAAATTTATTCGAAGTTAATTAGTGAAAACTTCCATCTTATCTTTACATTTATTTCCTAGGGTATTTTATATTTTTCAAAAATAAATGTTGACTTCTGAACTAAAATATTGTCTTTTGCATTTATTGGATTTATTTAAATGACTTTGCAATGCATTCTTGTGTATTCATTATAATAAACATGAAATATTTATGTACCATTTTAATTATAATTCTATATTAATTAGCCAAGAAGAAGCCATCAAAATAGACCAGGAATTATTCAATGAATACAGATTCAGCGTGGATCAATTAATGGAGCTCGCTGGTTTAAGTGTTGCTACTGCCATTGCAAAAACTTATCCAGTGCACGAAATGGTGAAAAAGGGAACGCTTTTGGTATGCTGTGGCCCAGGGAACAATGGCGGAGATGGTTTAGTCTGTGCTAGACATTTAAAATTGTTTGTGAGTATAATTTTTTGGTTTAAAGTAATAAAATAAGGGTGCACAACCGTTTACCGGGGATCGCAAAGAATTCAAATTTTATCCAGATTAATAATAGTTTAAATAGTGTGACAGTAAAAATTTTTAGTTTTTTGAAAACTAAAAGGCAAAGTGCTGCATTTGCCTTTCAGTACCATTTGCAAAATGTACATCGCAAAAAATAAAATGCTAAACATCTTTATATCTCATCTTTATTTTAATGTAAGCATCGGATTATCACATACTAAAGATACAATTTTAAGTGTTGAAGGATCTTAAATATACTAATTAATTTGTGCAGACAATTTATGAAATAACGAATTCAGAAAAAAAAATGTTCAAAAATGCTCTTTCACTAAATCAACAGTTTTTTTTTTTTTTTTTTTTTTTTTTTTTTTTTTTTTTTTTTTTTTTATAGACTGATTTGAATTTGGATTCTCAATGTATGGCCGTAATCTGGAATATATAAACCTCTATAATTTAGCAAGAGGGTTGTCTGAAGTTAATGTTCAATTCACTTTTAATGTTACATTCATTTTTTGCGTACGCACACCCACTTGGATCAGTCTGCGTAGGGACCGAGGGTGTGCGGTATTGGTCCTCATTAAACTGTTCTACCGTAAAGTGCTCGACTTCGCTTGCAGGTCGTTGAGCTACCGAAGCGGGAGTGCCATCTCCTCTGCAGAGGATCAAAATTGTGATGGCTTGTCTTCGGATCATTCTCAGGGATGTATCCCAGACCGTCGCCAATAGCCCATTGTGCAGCTCTAATGAGACGTAAATGAACTACCTACCAGAGTTGGCCAAAAATGTAATCGATTACATTTTTTGATTACAGTAATCAATTACTTGTAATCATGATTACAATTTTCAAAAATTTTGATTACAGCTGTAATCATGATTACAATATTGATTACAGTAATCAATTACTTGTAATCGTGATTACAAAGTTTGATTACAGCTGTAATCATGATTACATAGTCGATTACAGTAATCAATTACTTGTAATCATGATTACAATTTTCAAAAAATTTTGATTACAGCTGTAATCATGATTACNAATCATGATTACAGCTGTAATCAAAATTTTTTGAAAGTTGTAATCACGATTACAAGTAATTGATTACTTGTAATCGTGATTACAAGTAATTGATTACATAGCTGTAATTATCTGTAATCAATTACAGTTGTAATCGATTACTGTAATCAACGGCCAACTCTGCTACCTACCTACCTACCTATTTAGTTATATTTTTGGAACACTTAAACTAAATCTCTAACTTTTGTACACAATTGTAAAGCTCGTTTATTTATATATTATTTTATAAAAAATATTTTTTTATAATTATTTATTATTTTAAATATTAATGGTCGAAAAAGATTTGAATTGTAAAGAATATAAATCTTTATTAATCTTCGTCATTTTAAATGACAAAATCTAATACTTAGAGGAAATAGGAAAAATAGTTCTCGTGAAATCAAGATTTAAAATACGAATCTTTGTGATGACTAAATACACAGAAAGTTTTAATCAGCATTAAGGAATTCAAACTTTCGACAGGACTCCTGACCAAACTATGGGGAGGAGGGCAACCCATAATTTCCAATTGTGGCTACTTTACTTTTTGAGAGTCAAGAATCCAAACAGTTTGTAAAGAAAGTATGTTTATTCGAAGAAGGTACGTTTTTGTATTGGAATTCATAACTTAAAATATCGTCTGCAGAAATTAATACTCTCGCCATCTTGGATTTTATGTTAAATTTTTAATTTGTGTGTTCTCAATATTTTTTTGTACTTAAACTTTTGATGATATTGTATAATTAGACAGCACAATTTTTTTCTTCAACAAAGGTAGAAAACAAAGGGGTCGCTTTATTTAGAAGAACACTTGATAATTTTTAGAACTTCCTATTAATTTTTTCTCAAAATTTTAAAGCAGTGAAAGTTATGCAATTTGTGGTTTTGATTAACTCATTTAAAACTAAACGTTTCTTAGTTTTTAGATTTTTAGAAATCGAATTTTATTACATTTTCAATTGATGAAAACCGATTTGGATGATGTTGGAGAAATTTTTAATGTTAATTGCAAAAAAGCAGATACCTGTCAAAAATCTAAAAACACGCAACTGTATACTATTTAACTACCTATCAAAAACTGTTGATTGCGAATTGTATTAGCGTAATTTTGTAACAAAAAACTAATAGAGAATCCTAAAATACCGCGCTTTATAGCTCAAATTGTGATTGAGTGGCGGCCTTACATTTTACATTTATCGAAAGATACTGCCAAATCGTGTGAATATTCATCATTAGTTTAAGTGTCAAAGTTAAATAAAAAGGATTAAAAACATCTTTAGAATTTTCCCCTCCTTGTCTCCACCCCTTCGACAGTTGAGATCGGTACGTAAAAACACGACTATCAAAATTTAATAGGGCACTCTTGTTTTTCATTTTGCTCACCGTACGTATGATGCTTTCGTCTGAAGCTTTGCACATTTTGTATTCTATCATATCAAACATAGATTAACACAAACGTATAATATAAACTTTCTCTGTCGAATAACTAATTTTATTAAATTGTGAATATTAAATAATAAAAAAAATTACGAAAAATAATTATGTAAGTGATTTTAAAACTGCTCACACTTTTGATTTTCAAGTAATTTTTCTAATAACCTTATTCAGGGGTCTGTTAAGAAGACATTTGTGTCCGTTAGCGGACCCTTCACAAAATATCTTTTCGTAAAAACGGGTTCTTCAGAAAATATTTTAACTTAAAAACGGACCCTTCACAAAATGATTTTTCTTTTAATCGGACCCTTCACAAATTTGTTTATCTTCATTATTGTTTTATTAATTGAATAAACCCTTCCCAGGGCAGAGAACAAGGAAGATGGATGTAAACGAATTAAGTTTTATCTTCGGCAGACGATTCTTCCATTATTCGTCCGAAATGAATATTCTGCGTTCAGCAGTATAGGCTAAATACCAAATATTTGTATGTTGTATCTCTAATTTAGAAGCAGCAATGGCTGTTTATTTTTTAGATTTTAATTTTTTTTATTATAATTTTACAGTGCTGAGCATAATCTTGTATCTATTTACAATTTAAAAACTCCTTGAAAAAGTTTTTTTTTGCAATAACCGGACCCTATTTGCACAAGTTCATAAAAGCAGGACTCTGGTTGAAAGAATGTGAGTAATTTTTTCACAATTTCACAAAAACCGGACCTTTCACAAAATGTCTGGACAAACCCCTGTTATTTAAAACATATTTTGGCTAAAAAACTTTTTTTTGAATCTATAACATGTTTAAAACAAAAATTTAAAAATGAAAACAAGCAAAACATTTATTTTGTTTTATATACATAACAGTACATTTACATTTTGACATTTGAAAAAAAGAAAAAAAACACCCAAATTACAACATTAAACTGGATTACTGGAATTTGTTTGAAAAACAGATATAAAACTTTTTGTACTAGTTATGTAATTATGCCCAAGCGGCTATTTCTGGCCTAGACTGCAGGCTGTGCATCCTTATAATTAAATATTTTGTTCTCTCTTGTCACAATAACATTTATCTGTTGATACAGAATTTCGGATTATGTCCAGATCTGCTTACTCTTTGAAAATTTAATTATGTTTGATTTATTTAGTTTTTTTTTTCTGTTTGCGTAAATAATGATTAAAAAATAGCGTGTGCTCAAATAATTATATTAGTGTACGCCTTGATAAGAAAAAGAGAACTTTTTATGATTAGTGTGTCATTTAAATTACAATTTATTATTTTCAGTTATCTAATGTGCCACTTGGATATTTTTATTTTTAGAAACAACTGTCGTACGATTTCAATCTATAAAATTACATGGTGAAATTACATTTGCTGTTTAGTTTAATTACTACATATAGAAATATAGTATTTACAATTTTAAAAGTATTTCAGTTCAATACTAAGATAAGGTAAAATATTCTAAAGTGAGCATCTTTTGTGGTAAGCATTGAAATAAAATTGGATATTTTTAATTTTTTTATCACATGAAAATAAATGCTCTTTCTTTCTTTCTTTTTTTTGTATTTTATCAGTGTATATTTTACTGACGGACAAACAGTCATAATAGATTAGTAATAAATTGTTAGTCTAATAGTGATTTATTTATTTTGCAGGGTTACGCACCAACAATCTACTATCCTAAACGCACCAATAAGCCTTTATACGAAAATTTAACCATACAGTGCCAAGAAATGGACATACCTTTTTTGTCCTTCATCCCTGATGCAAAGTTAATTGATGATTCCTACAACCTAATTGTAGATGCTTTGTTTGGTTTCAGTTTCAAGCCACCTGTTCGCCCAGAATTTGAAGATATTATGAATAAATTGAAAGTACTGAACATTCCTATTTGCAGTGTTGACGTTCCTTCAGGTATTGCAATTTTTTTAAAAGTACAATTGCAATTTGGAACTAATATTTTTTTAATAATTAACTCATAAATTTTAACTTTATGTTTTTATTTCATTTGTGTTTAGAAATTTCATGTTGATCAAAATAATAAAAAAGTTACACCAATTACTAATTGCAGTTTGCAGTACGGTGATTTCGCTGACTAAAAAAGAAAATTTTAAATCTATCATTTTATTTGACATAGTGGAATATAAATAATTCACTATATGCATTAAAAATACAGAAATTTTGCCAGGTAAAGTAAATGGGATAATTATGAGATAATAATAAAATATTTTTAGCTAATACTATAAATAATCTTAAATGTATGTAAAAGCGATTAATAAGTTTTTTATTATTATTATTTCACGGTATTTCTTTAAAAACATCGCACTACCATGTCTAGAAATAAAGTTGAACCTCGATATTTGTCCTCGCATATTTTATTCTAAAGCAGAAACATGCGAGAGGAGACTGTGGTGAAAGGGATTTACAAAGCATGCAGTTTTTTCCTTTGAAAATATGCGTAAACGAATTTGATCTAAGATTTTTTTTGATCTAAAGAACTTTTTAGAATATGTATTAATTTTGATATTTATATTTTAAAAAAAAAAATTTTTAATTTTGAAAATTTTTCTAAAGTAGAATTTAAAAAATCGAAAGTAAAAAAAAGATTTATTTAAACATAATTTTTTTTCATCATTCGATCTGGTGTCCTAAAAACGTGACAGGGGTGATAATTGCTAGCCACCTCCACTCTTTTTGGATCCACCATCAACCTTAAATTGCATAGATGTTGGTCAATTTTATCCCTATAGAACTGTGAGTAATTTTATATTATTACCATCGTTGAACAGCAGACCCAATTTTGAGTTTACGATTACCACTGTTCAACTCCCGTGAACTTGTAATTTAAAACCCGATCCAGAAGATTATTGTATTGAGTATTGGGAGAAAATGTCTTCGTAGAGAACTTTCTGATGGTACTAACCTTCATCTGCGTTACATGGAGAGGAAAACCACGAAAACCTCCCACGGTTAGTCTGACGGCAAGGGGATTCTAACCCGTAATCCGTTTACAACTGAGGATACTTCACGTCAGCTCTGTGCTGGGTGCAAGCCGGATGTGGATTCGTATCGACCAGTCATTGGTGGGATTCGAACCCGGTTCGTTAAAACTATTTACTTATATGTACTAAAAAGAACTGTTGTTTGCTTACTCTTCCCATGCCCAAACTTTTCTCTTAGGATTCTATTAAGATCTATTGGTGAACACCTAACAGATCTTAAGTAATAAATAATTTTGCTCAGTAATTATTTTTTAAAATAACATTAAAAATTAAAGATTTATTGTTTTAACAAATTTGGTGAGTTCTCAACCTTAATATTTTTGCTTACCAAACAGGCCGATATATTAAATAATATTTGTGCGAGCATCTTTACGTTGTGTATGAAGGTGATCGTTTAGTTCTAAATTATTTAACGAATCTCTTTGAGAGTAATTTATAATATGTAGTATAATGTAATTTTCATCTAAAAACAATGCAAATAGTAAAATTGTAATAAGTCTTGACATCGTTTCAAATAAATTTATTTTAAATTGTAGCGTAATAAGATACTATCATAGAATTATGGGTAATAGTTTACAATCGGGGTCCCCTCTCATTTTTGGCGATTTGCAAATAAACGAATGTATCTGTAAATTGTAAATAAACCAATAAGAAAGATATATCATGTTGTTGTTGCTACTTATCTTCAAAGGTCTGACGGCGTCAGACCAGATCAAAAAATCCGTTGACGAGTAAAAGGTCGGAAACAAGGAGGGGAGAAGTGTAAATTTCTTCCTAAAGAAGTCCCAAGTAGTTTAAAATATGTTCAGCTGAAGCCTGATGTTGGTGGCATTTTGGGCAAAGAGGGTAGGATTTTATACCCTGAGAAAAAGTAAGGCATTTTAGATGTTCAAGGCGTGAAAGGCAAGTATTGGTTTTTCTGTCGCATGGAAGAATCAACGACTGTCCCGGCTTACTAGCCCTATAACCAATCATGAGTGGGAGGCACCGGCCATATCCTCCTATTTAAGTTTTTCATCTGAGAAAAAATTTCTAGGTAGGTAAGTTCATCAGATGCAGATGCAGAAGTTGGCAGTCTGCAACCGTCCTTTACTAGACAGTCTGCTTTCTCGTTACCAAATAGATCCACATGGGATGGGACCAACTGGAAATGAATATCATGTTGAAGTGAGATGTACTTCAAGTTGTGTGAAGGATAGATATGTATACTTGTCCTATCACCTATATAGATCCAATTATTAAGATGAAAATATATCATGGTAACCAGAAATGGGATTTTATCAAAATTGAACGAAAATTATCGCCAAACCAAAGGGTCCCCGATATTACACTAGAACCAAATTATGCTATAATGACTCCTATAGTTGTGAACTGTTAATAGAGAAAACAATCTAAATCAAAAACTTAATAATACAGAATGGAATAAAAAATAAATATTTCTGGCAAGTATCTTTAAATGAAGAATGCAAAAATATTTTATAGGAAAGCTTTACCTTAATGACTTATATTAATTTTATACTGATGACAACCAAAACAATATGGAAGTCAGTGAAGCAAAATTGGATCCTTCCATGCGATTTTCCAATCAATAAAAACGTCTACTAAACGGTCTGACTACAATGTGAAACAATGATTATTTTGACTACAATGACTGACTACAATGTTTATTTTTATTATATTTATACCGATCAAAATACCTAATTTTATCTTGTAAAACTTGAATAACTAAGAAAGGATTATAATAAATTTTCTTACTCACAAATTAAATGTTTAGTGAAATGCTTTTTTTTCCCCGCTTAGTCTACTTTTGGCTTACAGCCGTTTGGTTTGTTAACCTTCATGTAATGACCGCTAATAAATTTGTTTATTTGATTGTTGTATGCGATTCCTTATTATTTACAATTGCGTTTTTTTAGGTTGGGATGTAGAAAAAGGTTGTGATGATGGTATACAACCGGAGTTCCTGATTTCTCTAACTGCTCCAAAATTGTGCAGCCAACACTTTAAAGGCAAATACCATTGGCTTGGAGGTCGATTCGTGCCACCTAGTTTGTCATCCAAATATGAACTTAATTTACCTTCTTATCCAGGAACAGATTGTTGTGTTGCTTTACCAATGTCTACATCTTAATTTTATCTCGACCTCTTGTCTTCCTGTTAATTTTGCCTAAATGAATACAAAAAGAAGGAATTATTTGATGGCTTTTTACATTTGACTCAAATAATTAAAGAAAGTTGTTCATTAGATGCGAATATATCAAACAGAATGAAAGCTTGTTAAAAATTATTTAGTTTTTTAAAATTATTTTTGGTTGTGTAATATTGTTTTATATTCCATTTTTCTGTTATAGTTGATATTAATTTATAAATTGTCTCTCGTCTTATAAACTATCTAAGTGAACTATAGTTTACGATGTGAAAAATTTTTTTGTTGTTCCATATTAATGTGTTTAAATAAATATTACTTGAGATATTGATTGGATTATGCTACCAAGTTCTGTTGTGTGAAGTTTTATACTTTATGAAATAAAAATTACTTCTTATATCGAATTTTAATTTTTATGGATACCTCTGAAGTCCATTAATTTATCATACCTGTCATTCCTTTTCTATTATTATAGAATTTGTAATATTTGTGAAAACTTTTTATGCAGTTTTTGGGTGATAGCAAGAAATTCACATTAAGTTAATGCAGTCGAATCTCATTACGCTTCAAACGAAGAAAAATAGTTTTTCCATCTCCGGATTTTGTTAAACAATAATGATTGCAAAGATTTAAGACCTGTTTATACGATCCAAATTCTTGGATGAAGATTGATTGAAATTGATGGAAACTTGTTTTGCTAATCGAACTCGGATCGTGTAAACGATCATCCGAGTTCTTGTTCCAAGTCCTTGGACGATAGTAGAGCGTGTTCTACTTTCCATCGAAGTTTTTCCTCCCTTAACCAATCAGCATCTTAAGTTTTGTGACGTCAACAAGATTATGTCATTTTCTTGTCCGTTTTCATATATTTTTATCCTAATAAATTAATCTGTCAGTATCTATTTGTGTTATGATTTTATTTGAATTTATTTAATAATTTTGAATTCATGTAATTATCATTTTATAATGTTGAATATAAACAATTCGCATTCGCAAGTTTTTCATCGGACCAACCAGTGACATTCAAGAACTGTAGGATAGAGTCAACGAATCATCAAATATATCAGAGAGAGAAATTGCTCCAAGTTCTCGGATTCAAGAACTTGAACCGTGTAAACAGGCCTTTATACTTATTCTAAAATACCAACTTTCCCTTACAAAACAAAGTAAATATTGCCCCTAATGAAAACAAGTTCTTTAATTTGACGTTTGTGGTGACCTCCCTCGTCTAAGATTTTTTCTGAACTTGACATGTGAAAATAGTACATTTATTTGTTTTTGTACCTGAAGAAAGAGGGGTCGTACTTAACTTACATCAATCTGAAATTGATGACATCACCAACTGAACACCTGCGGAGGCGGGACGTAGAACTTTCATTAGTCTTATTGAGGCTACAGTTGTAAAAATAAATGGAGAAATAAACTGAACAGAAGATTTTATGTGATGTTAGTAATGGGGTTTTAAGAAAAATCAGCTATTGCAGCAAAGTACCGAATACCTGGCTAATACTCTTTCGACAGTCTTCTTTGACATCTTTGCTCTAGTAATTTTTTTTTAATTATTTTGTATTTCGAGTTGTATGAATATACAACTCGAAATTTCTTCTTCGAAGTTTCTTCTTCAAAATTTCATACTCAAAATTGTTTTTAATTTTTTATGCTCTCTTCCGTGTTTCTCCTTTTCATTTTGAGTTTTGGCATGGAAGATGGTCCTTTAATACAGAGGTTACCAATTTTTTCAGCAATGGAACCCTAAATGATGAACCTTCTTCCGATGGAACCATAAGTAAATAAAGACAATTCATAAAGTAAATAAAGACAATCTCGAACGTATTTACCAATAAAAGACTTATTTTTTAAAACCACTTAATTAAAAGAATGAGGAGTAAATATTAAATCAGTTTTTATGTCCGACTAATAAATTCGAAGTCACGGTGCTATTTACTTGTGTTTGGTGCAATGTACACTACCGGTCAAAAGTTTGCGAAAATTTTGAAATCTACAAAGAAAAGGTCTAAATTCAAATGTTCATAGAACTGCGAAAAATCATTCAAATTTCAGGAAAATTTGATATATTCTAAAGTGAACCCTCTACTGTTAGTTACATATAATCGAAATACAATACTTTGTTTTTTGCGAACTGAATCCAGCTTTTCATCAAGGATTGTTTTTATGGTGAAAAAATTCGTTAAGTTTGAACACTTGCCAAAGTTGCAAAAAAAAATTTTTGTACTTTCTGTTAATAGAAAATAGTTATTTGAACCGTTCTATGTAAGCCCTCAAAATTTCAGATCGATTAAATTTTTTTTTGAGAAGTTAAAGAATTTTGAAAAACATATGTACTTTTCCCGATTTTTGAGCATTCCACATATGCGGTCTTTTGGTCTATATATCTTCTAGCAAAGAACTTTTTAATTTTAATGTTTTCTATTTTTTCAAATAATTAGTATTGATTATAAAACAAATATTCTTATTCATTATTGTAATTTTTGTTATTACAAAGAATTTATTATGAATATAATTAAAACAATATCTCATAGATGTCACATTTCATCTAAAATTTGTTTGTTCTTGCAAACGATGCTCTGATATTTGAATCGAAGTCAGTTATGGGACATTTTACAACAGGAATGGAACTCTATATCACTTGAAGTGATTAATGGTTTATTAGAACGAATGCTATGCATATGTAAGGCTATAATAAAAGCAAAAGGTGGATGGTTCGAGGAATCTAAGATTTAAATGTTAATTTATTTAATTACAAAATACGAATAAGAATATGTTAAATATTTGACCTGTTGTAAATAAAATAGTTTAATAAAAATGCAAATTTTTTATACTATTGTTATTATTTTTTTAGAATTATTTATGTAATTATTGTTATAACTTTTTAATTTAATTTAATATAAAGTAAAAATATCACAACAAAACTAATACAGGTAAGCAATAAATATAAACAATAAATATAAACAATAATAATTACAATAATGAATAAGAGTATTTGTTTTATGATAAATATTAATTATTTGAAAATATAGAAACATAAAAATTAAAAAGTTCTTTGATAGAAGATGTATAGACCAGAAGACTGCATATGTGGAATGCTCAAAAATCGAGAGAAGTACACATGTTTTTCAAAATTCTATAACTTCGTCAAAAAAAATCGAATCGATTTGAAATTTTGAGGGCTTACATAGAACTGTTCAAATAACTATTTTCTATTAACAGAAAGTACAAAAATTATTTTTTGCAACTTTGGCAAGTGTTCAAACTTAACGAATTTTTTCACCATAAAAACAATCCTTGATGAAAAGCTGGATTCAGTTCGCAAAAACAAAGTATTGCATTTTGATCATATGTAACTAACAGTAGAGGGTTCACTTTAGAACATATCAAATTTTCATGCAATTTGAATGATTTTTCGCAGTTCTATGAACATTTGAATTTAGACCTTTTCTTTGTAGATTTCAAAATTTTCGCAAACTTTTGACCGGTAGTGTATGCTTGTCACAAAAAATGAATGAAACAAGCAGTCGGCTTTTTTTGAAATAAAAACTAAAGGAAATTATTGCTGTTAGCGTTGAAAATTGTTATAATTCTTTTTCAGTGCCATTCTGCTTTAAATAATTTTATAAGACAGGGTGCGTAGCGTTTGTAAGAAGTGCTTAAAGGTGCTTATTTTTGATTTTCGTTTCTTAAAAGCCCTTAAAGGTGCTTTTTTCATTGGGTCTTTTTAAAAAGTGCTTAATTTTCCCTGTTCCAAATTGAGATTTTTCCTTTATCATATTGATTTTCGCAACGAATTATGGAGTAAGACACTGTTCACATTGTTCTATTCAACGTTTTCACAATTAATTGAACCCCAATCTATTTCGGCGCATCGTCAGTCCGTAGCGTATGAAAATATCATTCGATTTACATGATTCAAAAATTTCGACAGTTGTCAAAAACAATTCCAAAAGTTTTTTTTATTTTTTGACATGGCGGTCAAAACCAGATAAAACCGTCCATTGTCAAAAACTTTCTAACCCTGCCTAATTATATTTTTTAAAGTGCTTCAAAAGTTTATTTGAGTGCTTGAAAAGTACTTAAAAGGTGCTTATTTTTTGTTGAATAATTTGGTTGCGCACCCTGTAAGAGCAACCGAAATATGAAATAAATAATTGATTGTTTATTGAATCTAACAATAATTGAAAATTTCAAATGTTACTAGTTAAAACAAATGTCCTAATTCTCAGAACCCTTTTGACTATAGAACGGAACCCAAGGTTTCGCATAACACCATTTGGGAACCACTGCTTCAATATGAAGCCGAAACGATCAGATGCTTGTTTAGTTTCTCAATCAAAATATTACATGAATAAAATATCTCCTTAGCAAAATATTGCCTTTACAGAATATCGCGACTATATTTCAAAATCTGAGCTTAAAATGACAACGAAAGATATTCAATCTGATACAACAAAAGTAATTATAAACACATACACACACCCATTTGCAAGGTTCATATCTTGAGTAAGTATAAGAATTAGAATGTAATTACATTTAGAAGGAATTTTTGAATCCTTTAAATTTTTAAAATATCACCCACACTCATGTGCCGAAGATAGTTTTTCATTAGAGTCTTGTAAAAGTATAATTTATTAAATTTTGACCATTAATATTTTCATTAATAATATTGATTATTTATGAAGGATATTTATTAGCATTTAATACTCATTCATCAGTATAAATAGAATTAATCTGATTAGCTCTGAGTAAAATAATTTATAATTTAGAGGAAGTTTAAAATCAAGTAACGGAAATCTTAGTGTAATTAGAAAAACCACTAAACGCCCCGAGTTCTGTTCCAAGACTTAAAAAAATTACAGTTTTTATTTTTTTTAAATAATGTGTCATATTAAAAAGTTATACATTTAATGATAACTAGGTTGTTAAATTTTTAAAAATAAAATATTTCATATTTTATTCTAAATTAGCGTAAGCATAATTAATTACATTAATCAATTTATTTTCATAAATAATTATTTGTTATTAATAATCATTAACGAACATCAAGATAATAAAAGCATTAACTGTCAATAAGTAATAATTATACAAATTTTTTTTAAGATTGTTCATTTTTTAAATCATACCATTTATCTTACATTTTAGCTGTACCCTTAGCCCAAAAATAAAAAATAGTAATGAAATTTACAAAAAATTGTAAATATATGTCTTTAAATTTACAAGAGACTCTTTAAAAACTAGTTTTAAAAATTTGCATTCGGAAATGTTTTTTTTTTTTTAACTTTAGTAGCTTCAACGTGCGATCGTTTTTGAAACTGGTTTATGCACTTTTTATTTGTTTTGTAGCTTTATACAGAAATCGCTCAGAAAAGGGGGGGAAATTTTATACATTTCTATAAATTTTTATTTTAGTTTAACTTTTATCAGGAGCAATTTTCTAAACTTTAGAACACTAAATATACATTTTTACAAAATAAATGTTTTTTGCGAGTCATCTTAAAATTCCCATTCATTGGATTAAATTTATAATTACTTTTAATTATAGCAGTGAAATTCAGTTACATTATTTTTTATGAATACTTGTTTTAATTGAGTTATATTGTGACAAGAAAAATTAGAGAATTTAATTTTCCCAACTTGCATAGTGGTCTAAAAACTAACAACAGTAACTCAGCCAAATAAAAAATTTAAAAAACGTGTTTGTTTTGATTTAGTTTCTAAATTTTACTTAATTTTTAATTAGTAGGGAAAGAATATTTGCTAACAATTTTTATTTTGTGTACCTTTTGAAAACTAAAACTAAACTAAATGATGTAACCAATTTTTAGTTAAAATTTCCCGTAAAAAGGATTACGGTGACACTCCAATTTATCTATTTCTAATAGCGTGGGAGAACGCAATACGGATTTAAATCTTATCAACGAAGATTACAATTTCACCTGCTGAAACGGCTAATTCGTAATAGTGAGATTCGAACATTTTTTTCTTCCAGACTAGCTCCATCTGACATGGCCTTCGAACATGTGTCTCTGATTTTTGGAATTTTACTGTGCTTTCCTGTCATATGTAAGAACTTCTATTTTTGTAGCCTTATTTTGATCACATTGATGATATTTGATCGTGTCTTTGATCATATATATTAAATCCTTGTCAACAAAGAGCCTTATTCGTGTTCTATTTTCCTATCTAAAAAAAGTCTTAAGTTCAAAATAAACACTTTTAAAAAACGTGTATATTAAAACGGGAGAATTTAAATTTATATTCGATCCCAGAAGTGACAGCAAAGAAGGTAACAAACGCATTTTCTATTAAAAAATGGAATTAGAATAATTCTTGTACATTCGTTTAAATAGGTAACAAACGCGTTTTCTATAAATGAAAAAAATGGAATTAAAATAATTCTTGTACATTCGTTTAAAATTATTGTTCCTATTTTATAATAAATAATTAGTTTTCCAATAATTATGATTTCGGGATTTTTAACTGTTATAATTTATTGTTAAATAAATTTTTCTTTCAGATAAATATTTGAATCCTAGATCATGCGAATACAATAAACATAAAAATTCAACTTCTTTTAGGAAGGAAAGGCGCTCTGTTTAAGTTATTATTTTTCTTCGCCCGCCAACTGCAATTATCATTATCAAAATTGACTGTCTTCATATTCTTCTTTTAGAAAAATTTTTCATGCTCGCTATTTATAGTCAAACTTCACCAGTCTAAATTAGTTTATAACTGTTAGTTGAAAAATTGCTGGTAGGGAAAAATATCTAAACATATAGAAATAAAATATTTCTGAACATATTTTTAGTTAATTTGATATTGTTTTGTGTTAAAGTGAGTGAGAGATGATAATAATGAATAGAGCGGTATAAGTGAGAGGTGATAATAATGAATACAGAGGTATAAGTGAGAGGTGATAATAATGAATAGAGAGGTATAAGTGAGAGGTGATAATAATAAAGAGAGAGGTATAAGTGAGAGGTGATAATAATGAATAGAGGTATAAGTGAGAGTTGATAATAATGAATAGAGGTATAAGTGAGAGATGATAATAATGAATAGAGGTATAAGTGAGAGGTGATAATAATGAATAGAGGTATAATAGAGAGGTGATAATAATGAATAGAGGTATAAGTGAGAGGTGATAATAATGAATAGAGAGGTATAAGTGAGAGGTGATATAAATAAAATAAAATTGACATGAAAAGAACTATCAATGTAATCATAATATTGATATAGAAAAAAATTCTCTTTTACCGAGTAATTATCACACATACGCGTTTTTTCTTATTACTATGTTTTCATTAACGATCAACATTAAAAATGGGCTTCAAATTGTTTCACGTCAAGGCCTATATTTCAAAAATAATAGGAAGGGGAAGTTAAAATAAGTCATAATTGTAGAGAATACTTATTATTATAGATTTAGGCTTGTTATATTAACTAATAATTTCAGAATAATTGTGCTTAGAATAGTTATTCCAAATTTAAATAATGATATAATCCAAAGGAAATATTAACTATCTTAATGTAATGGAAGTAAAACTGTCCCACGTTTTGGGTTAGAACGGTCAAGGAGGTTGAGGCTTCACAATTTCATAATCAATGACATGATACTTTACTGTATTTTTCGCAGAAAAAACTTTAAATAATAGATTTTTTTTTTCTTCTGTTTTTAACCGTTATCCGCACACTATAAAATGTTCCCGTTTTTTTACGGAATTTCTCCGTATATTTGACGGATTTAACTGTTTTTTTCTCAAAATAATTTTTCTCTGTGTTTTACCCAAATCATAAACGGATTAAACCATCTTGTTCAAACTTCAGTTTTTGCCAAGCAATTGTGCTTTCCGTAAGATTATTTTACCTTTCTTCAAATCATTTCACTATTGTTTTCTATATTCGCTCTTACTTTTCAGAAATTATTTTATGATTATGAAAATAGCATAGATAAAATTGTGATTCGACTTCATCATCAAATTGATAATCTGTTACTAGATACATTTTTTTGACACCTTTAAAAGAGTAGGCCAATATAGTTTTAAACGTTTTTACTCTTAAATTTGATTTCAATGGGAAAAACTTTTAAGGTATAGTCAGTTTAAGATATGTTTTCATACCGGAACACTAGAGCTGCCGCGGTTCAGGTGACAGAGTGCTCGCCTTCCATCGTAGTGACCCATGTGTTGACTCACCATATGAATTCTACTCTCGGCTCGCACCGTCAAATTGAAGCTGCCATAGCTGTTCTAAATAACTGCCATAGTTAGTAGTAATTTTATGCGGCCATATTTATTTTACAATTTTGTCTTTCTAAAATAACAGAGTTTTTTGTTGTTGTTAAAATAACAGAATTTGTTCGTTACAATAAGGGAGTTAGCTAAAATAGCAGTGCTTGTCTTCGTAAGAAACATGTGCTAGATTTTGTGAAATAAACGGTTTTATGCTGGCACACCAGCAGACAGTTTTTGTTCAATAAATTCAACAGATTTCATAACAGTGTAGCACTGTGCAATGCGCACCAACCGCATTTACTTCATAGACAAACTTGTAGCCATAGATCAATCTGAAGCTGAGTGGTTTAGAAGTCACCAACGGGAATAATATCTTACAATGAAACCTCAGTTCATAATTGAATAACCCGATTAAAAAAACAAAAGAAAACATACAAGAATAAGATTTTTCATTTAAAACCAACATTAATCTTATTTGCAATTGAATAATTTCGAGCAAATCGAATTCGAAATATATTGAGATTCGATGCAATATTGAAATCGAGCTATTGCAAAATAAAAGTATCGATTCCTTTTCAGATTCTTCGGTGATTCTGGATGGCATAGAATATTGCCAACTCTACAATCCCCCATGGGTTAAATATAAAGGCTACTGTTATTTGTTCCATCAAGATTGGAAGACTCGAGTTTCCTTTTATGATGCAGAGGATGAATGCCGTGGAAGAGGAGGACATCTTGCTTCCATTCATTCCGAAGACGAGAACAATTTTTTTGTCAGAATGGTATGAATTTCATTCCATAAAGTTTTTTTTTATCGCATGTATGATATGTATTCGAAAGTTTTTCGCATAATATGTAGGTAAGAGACTCTTAATTCAAAGAAAATTTATTCGTAGAATGTAGGAGCATTATTCAATTTTACTACTGCTGTTAAACCATTTTGATTCTAAAGGTTCCATTTATAATCTTTTTATTATTCCAGAAACTATGCGAATTTATTAATCCTTCTTAGATGCAATATTAAAATTCAATGAACTGAATTTTGTGGTCAATATTGCATTTCCGCCATGTTTAATAGAAAATAAAAGGTTTAAATAATAATTTTTTAAAAATGGCAGTTGAAAAGTTAAGAAATAAATAAAAAGGTGTCTTGGGATTTTTTTTACTCTATTATGACCCCATATGAACCGGTAGAAACTCGCTAGATTGACTTTCACAATAGTAAACGAACAGAGCGAAACAAACAGAAACAGTAGAGAAATTTTGTACTATGTTGTACAACACACGAAACAAGAAACGCAACACGCTGAGTAATTTTTGTTCCAATGATCGATTTTCAAGTACTAGAACTCAAACTTTGTGGTTCACAGTTCTCAAATATGCTAATTAACTGCTAAAAACGATGTTTTATGTTGCGAAATCAGACGCAAGAACGTACTATCTCTGATTTTGACGGATTAGGATTTCTTACCCTCAAAATATGGGGTTAAGTCGCAATCTGGAAAAGATGGTCCCAATTTAATCAAGAGCTACAATAAGTCTGGACCCCTTAAATGTTAATTTTATGTTTTTACATATTTATCCCGATGTCGAAAACTTTTTATCCAATTGAAAATTTTTGCACACAATTATAAAATTCGTCTATCCAAAGATAATTCCTTACAAAAAGAAATGTTTTTCAATAATTTGTTATTTTTATTATTTTATTTAATAATAGTCGAAATTTTAAGGTTTGCGAATTTCAAAAAGTAATTTGAAAGGACAAAATACAAAAGTTGAACAAAATCGGTCGAATAATTCCGGAGAAAACGAATTTTTAAAAAGTGGTATATTTAAAAATCGATTTCTCAGAAACCATTCGACTGATTTTGTTCAAATTTAATATTTTGACAATTTATATCGCAGTTTTTAAAATGATGTAAAATTTTGTACAACTTACTTATAAATTTTTTAAATCAGTAAAATCAATGAATTACTCTGATTAAATAAATTTTATTGTAAAAATTTCGGTGTAATATTTGATTGTAAAAATAGTTTTTACGATAAAATGGATTTTACGGATGATACATCTAAAGCGGCAGTATTTTGTACCGTAATTTGATCCGGAATTTTTTGCAGTTTTGTTGCTGTAACGTTAACCTGCCCAGCCATGTGATTTAAGTGACATAGTTGGGCTTAATCATGTATTTTTCTCGAGTTATAAATACTCAATTGCCAACAGTTTAATTTATATCAATGACTTTTGCTAAGCCAACGAGGAAATTTAATTTTCAAACGTGTCTCCCAAACAATCTAGATTGAAAAATTTTTAGGATCGGGGTCTAAAATTGCCTCTTGCCGTCTAATTTTCTGGATTCTTTCCCAAATGGTTCTGGAGTTCTGCAATAAGCAAGTAGGCAGGCATACACACAAACAAATTCTTACTTTTATTATTATAAATTTAAGAAAGTTATTATTTGATAGGCTAATAGTGGTGTATTCCGAGGTCGCCAATGGATTGGACTAAATATATTGAAGGGAAATACGACTCCTGAGTGGACAGATGGCACTCCTGTTAACTATACAAAAATCGTTCCAAAAGATTTCTACAAGAATGAGAAATGCTTCATATTCATGCGTGATAAGAGTAAGTTAATTAATAATTTTCTTATTTTATTGGTCAATGTTTGATTCGAACTCTGAAATGAAGCCGAATGATTTTATTCATTGCAACGAATGGTCGTTTTATAAACGAATTCACATCAATCGAACTACCATTCCAGAAGATTCCTCCAAGAATGAGAAATGTTTCACATTCTTGTGTGCACATGAAATTTTCACATGAAATCATTTCTCTATGCAAAACTATTTCTCTTTGTTGTCGTTCCGTTCTTATTGGATGAACCAAAAAATTACATAGAAGGCATCTTTAATTAGCAAAGAAAAAGACACGAAAATCTTTAGGTGCCATAAATATTTACATATAAAAGTTACAACGGTATTTACCTTAAATATTTATCTCTTCTGTAATGTTTTTTTTTTTTTTTTTTTTTTTAAATTTTGGTTTGATTTGATTACAGAAATATTTAACATAAATAGGAAGTCATCTTCAACTACTTTTAATTATTATACTGTCTATATTTAACTTATTTTACCTTTTCAGCTGTTTTTATGGTGTTTTATTAAAATAGGACTTTATTAAAAACGGAACAATTTTACTCAAAAGTAATAATCTTATTCAATAGTATTGGCATAAATTAAAAAGTTAAGTTTTTATATTTAAATATAATGAAGTTGCTCTATGATATTACCTAATATGAAGCCAACCTTTGTCAAGCCAACCTTTGTAAAGCCAGCCTTTGTAAAGTCAGACATTTATAATAATAATTATAATATGGACATTTATAATAAGTATTGGAAAAAAAGCAAATTATCAGTCAGTATTAATGAATGCGACGAAATCACGCAGAAAACTGCAAAACATATACAGACACAACTAATTAAGCTAAAGTCTACGCAATTTATTTTTACTTATTATTTATCGTTAATATACATTATTAGATTAAGCAAGACATGTTCATAGAAGTTATTCATCACATCAAAATAAAGATTAACTATATTCAGTATCATTTGGCATAGTGCTATTATTCGTGGTCCAAAGTAAAAAATTACCATATACAACTATTTCCTTTGGTACTTATCTTTTTCATTGGGCCATAAGAAATCTATTTTCAATTTCCATAGTACCTGTATTAAGTATATCTTGGTACCAATATTAGTATATTTAGAGCGTATATTTTTAATAAAAGTATTATCTATTACCAAAATTCTCATATAGGAATAAGTAATTTATCTTTATTGATTAAACTTTTTACAACAAAATGTATGGTATTTTTAATTTCAATTTGTATGTACTAGCAAAATTAATTGATTGTAACTCTTAAAACTAATAAGTAACAACACTGAATATTTGACTGAATGTGGTAAAATATACTATTGTTATTGCCGTTAAACTTGCTGTGATAATTAGAACCAATTATACCAATATAGATGCCTAATATACGCACTGTGATAATAGGTTATTTATGACCCTCCGAAATGGATAATGGACCATACTGCACATTCATAACATTTAATACATAACCTTTACTTTTTGCTATTTGTTGTATATTCCGTTGAGGCTTTATACTATTAGATTTACCATAATATAAGTTAGAAATTTCATTCGCCCAAAGAAAGATTAACTATACATGTATCATCATTTTTCATCTGATATTCAGAATTTACAATTATCCCACGGCTTCATATTCAAATTTCAATTCTCATAATTCAAACTTCAATTTTCTTTTATCAACTCTTGTTGAGTTTCCAAATTTAGGTTTAAAAAGTCATGCTCAAAAGCGTAAATATATTAAATACATCGATAGATGAAACACGTGGTTTCATATACCTTTTGAAATACAATTTCAGAGACGTCATCATTATACTTTGCGAAATTATGAACGTTGATTTTACTTGTGATAAGCTAACGTAAGAAATAAAAGAGGAATATTTCATAAAAACATGCGATAAAACTAATTTTTGATTTTTCAGAGCAGTAAAATAGCAATACACTCATATTTTAAATCCTATGGAAAACTCATTCTGTGGGATGTAGCGCGTGAACCGGTTGACGGAGGGAGCTTTAAAATAGACAGTTAGGTCTGTCGAGTTTACGAACGTATGTATAAAAACCAAATTTGGTGTGGATGGGTTAAGAACTGCGGATTTTCATACGGTACGTATACACCGAAGAGCCATTACATTATGACCACCCTGCTAATAATATGTAGGACCACCTTTAGCCCTCAAAACTGCTAGCACCCGCCGTGGCATTGATTCCACAAGGTGCTGATAGGTAGTCTGAGGTATCTGGTACCAAAGCGATCACCAAATGGTCCTGCAATTCCCTCACATTGCGAGGGGGTAGCGTGGCAGCACGAATTTGGTTTTCCAAGTAGGACCACAAATGCTCTATTGGATTAAGGTCAGGTGAGTTTGGGGACCAAGACATGACTTAAAAGTCACTGGAATGTTCCTCGAACCAATCCATGACGATTCGTCCCTTATGGCATGGTGCATTATCCTGTTGGTAAACACCATCCCCCGCAGGAAAAACTGCTGCCATGAATGGATGAACCTGGTCTGCAACTATGTTCAAGTAGCTTACAGATGTCAGGGATTGTCCTATGAGGATTATGGGTCCTAATGTGCCCCATGAAAACATTGTTCCTGGGCGAGAAACCATGAAAACCTGGGCGAGCCTATTGTTATAGATGGAGGGTGATCATAATGTAATGGCTCTTCGGTGTATATACACATACACACGCACGCACATTTGCATGTGAACTATGCTACTTTATTTAGATAGATTTTATGCAAAATTATAGACAATGTAGGCGATTAAAATAATTATAGTAAAATAATTATTTGAAATTTTTAAAAAATACTAGAAATTTACTTTCCGCACTATTGCTAAATAATCTATTCGAAAAAAACGTCTAACGAGTTTTTATAGTAACAGAAAATTGCATAAGAATTTATAAAAACAAGTTTGTGAATTCAGTTTTCATAATAATAGACCAAATTTTATCCCAATAGAACTGGAAATTAACATGGCGGAACCGAATCTGTATAAACAGAATGAAACATTGAATGAGAATAAGACAAACGTCAAGAAACGCGAGTGATTATGAAGCAACCATGGAACTGGCAGCGAGTAGAGATTGAAAAACAAAGAAAACAAAGGAAGGAAAACAAAACCTAAACTTACAATAACTTTTACAACACTTAACGTACGGCAACAGATTTGACAGTTCGGATAGCGTGCAACTGGTTTCGTGTCACAAAACGGGCCAATACACGAATGTTAACACTAAGTCAATAACTCTTTTCTACTTTTTCTTATTCGTCAAATTAATGTGCACCGCTTTAATAAGAACTCTGAAAATAATTTGATTTCAATGATTGTTTCGAAAAAGTGGGTTAAATACAAATAGTATACATCAAGCGTATATATATATTCCGAAAATTTTTTTCACGTATGAAACGTATAATAAAAGCTCGATGTGCAGTGCGCAAAAAAGTAAACAGAATAAGTTTTCATGTAATGATCGAATGTTCATCTTGGTAAGAATCAATCTTAATTATTCAGGGGGGTAACCTCAAATATTCTAATTAATTAGTGCAAACGATATTTTAAGATTAATTAAGATAATATTTTGAGATAGCGATATTTTAAGCGTACCTTCTCTGAATAAGCATACCATTTGTTCGACGAACTTCAGACCCCCAAAATATAGCGTGTAGCCGCAATATGAGATATATGGTTCCAATAGTGTGATCAGGAGAGCGGTCTAAAGTTTGGACCCCTTAATGTTAATTTTACTTTTTGAGGCGTCCGCTATATCTCGAGAACTTCTAAAGTGAATTGAAATTTTCTCGCGAACAATTATACAATTCGTTTAACCCAAGATAATTCCATGCAAAAAATACCTTTAGTAAATATTTATTATTTGTATTATTTTATTTAAGTATAGTCTAAAAAATTTTGAATTGTAAGGCATACAGAATTTCGCATCATTTCAAAGAAAGTAATTCTACAAGGCAAATGCAACATTTAAGCGGAATCGGTCAAATAGAAATCGAAAATTGAAAAAGTCGTGTATTTAAAATTCGTTTACTTAATACATATTGCAACGATGTATCATGAATTCTAGTCAAACTAAAAATAAATAACTATTTTGAATTTAAGTCGAATACGAAGTTACTATTTTAAAATATACTTAAATTGATTTGGGATACAATAACTATACCATAAAGTTAAGTTTTTTAGACTGAAGTTTTTTATTTAATAAATTTCATTTAAACTAAGTGTCATAATTTTATTGTGTTTAATAAATAAATAAATAAAAATAAATAAATAAGTAAAAATAAGTAAATAAATAATATCCAAATAGTGATACAATAGTACTTTAACCGTCTAACCATTGAGTCCGTCTAACCATAGAGTCCTAACCTACCTGCTGTTACGGAAACAATTATGCACTTCAAAGTGGGAAACTTTTGATACTTTTCTCATGGACTAGAATCAAAACCTGTTTTAAAAATGCTTACGGTACACCCAGTACATGAAATGTTTAGCTTCGTAACCATAGTTACTGATAGTGCTCTATAGATAGTTGACGTGGGAATTTCTTTAGCACAGCACTTCCTTAAACAGACGGAGGTGTCTTTCCACACCGATCTCCCGGTGTCTTACCTCCCCACAGCTCTTCTCCATTGCTAAAGCCAAAAATAAAGCAGCATGGCTTACTCCAACCAGTCATAATTGGTACCAGGGTACCAGACCGGGTAGCTGTTTGACAACTGACAAAGACCGTCAGTCTCAAACCGCCATCACACGTCTCCGCCGTGGACACCTGAAATCACTGAGGTACTCTGGAGGAGAAAAGTGCTTTGCCCTCTGTACCATGTGCTCTTCGGCCCAGGCATCCCCTGAACATCTACTGGACTGCCTCGGTCTTTTAAAACAAGACCTAATTGAAAGACCCTTACTTGTTTTGGACTTTTTGAAGGTGAACAATCTCATGGACCTTGTCTAGCTAGGCTAGAAATGGGGATTTTAAAGAAGAAGAAAGATTTCTTTAGTTAGACAAGCAATATAGCCAATTGTTAAGCATTTCATATAATAATATATTTATATTTTTTGCTGCAGGAACTTATTTAAAAATTCATTCAACATTTTTTTTTATTAGATTAGTGGATCTTACTATATTTTAACTACTCTTTATTTTATGGTAGAAGGGTGGCGTCCAGAAGATTGTGGGCTCCACTATTCTGCAGTGTGCAAAAGACCAGAGGATGTTACTCCTACCACGATCGCTCCCCCAACAACTATTCCACCCCCCTCTGGATATTGCCCTAAAGATTGGATTCAATTCGGTAGGTTCCATAGGTATTATTTTGTAACTTATTAGTATGGATAAGTTCAATCAGTGTAAAATCAATTGTTTTGGAAGAAATAGTCATTTAACTGTAAAATTTTATGTGTTACCATAAACTTTTTTAGTAATGCGGCGATAAATCAAAACCAAAATTGATCTTACTGAGTGTGAGTTATAAAAATAAGTATTTGATTCAGTATTGAATGCTTTATTTTAGGTCAAAAATGCTACAAGTTTTTTGGAAAGCTGGAAGAAGACAGAGTGAGTTTTAAACAAGCAAGGGACGCTTGTTGGTCATTGGGAAAGGGCAATGATCTGGTATCTATACACAGCATGGAAGAACAAGGTAAACTTGTTTCGAATTAGGCTTTTATCATCGTCAATAAGCAGCGCAATCTAAAAATACACCTTTACATCCATGAAATTTTGAGCTCAACTCAAACATAAAAGAATTTAGTCAAACATAAAAAACGAGATTTCTCGATGGGAATATACATGGTGAATAACAAAACAGTACTGCAGGTAGGTGAAACAATCTAACCTTTAATGATAGAAGCACAAAACATGATACCATATATACACCGAGGTGCCATTACATTATGACCACCCACCATCTATAACAATGGGCTCGCCCAGGTTTTCATGGTTTCTAGCCCAGGAACAATGTTTTCATGGGGCACATTAGGACCCATAATCCTCATTGAACAATCTCTGACGTCTGTAAGCTACTTGAACATAGTTGCAGACCAGGTTCACCCATTCATGGCAACAGTTTTTCCTGCGAGGGATGGTGTTTACCAACAAGATAACGCACCATGTAATAAGGGTCAAATCGTCATGGATTGGTTCGAGGAACATTCCAGTGACTTTCAAGTCATGTCTTGGCCCCCCAAATTCACCTGACTTTAATCCAATAAAGCATTTGTGGTCCTACTTGGAAAACCAAATTCGTGCTGCCGCGCTACCCCTTCGCAATGTGAGGGAATTGCAGGATCAGTTGGTGAGCGCTTGGTACCAGATACCTCAGACTACCTATCAGCACCTTGTGGAATCAATGCCACGGCGGGTGCTAGCAGTTTTGAGGGCTAAAGATGGTCCTACATGCTATTAGCAGGGTGGTCATAATGTAATGGCTCTTCGGTGTATATGAAGCTTTAATTTTAGACTATAGGTGTTACTTTGTGGTCTGCTGGGTATCAAAAATTTTAGGAAGGTTAATTAATTAAAGCAATTTACACTAAACAGAAGAAGGCACATGTTATATTGTAGTGGAAGTACATCGAGGAGAGGCGCCGCAATATCCCATCAAAAAACGAAAAGAACATAAAAAATCATACCTTCATCTCAATCCACTGGAGAAAAGGAGACATCAAACAATTTGGCTTAGCTGCAATAGTTTTAAAAGACACAAGGAAAAGTCCAGAGTTCAGATTTTTGTAGTTTATTAATGTGGATCACTTCTTTTCACGAAAATCGTTGGGGCAGCAGAATTACAAGCATGTCCAGTTAGGGGTCACAAGGCATATATTTTAACAATGGCAGATAAGATTTCTGGGGATCATCTTTTCATCTCTTAGTAGTAGCGTCAGTGGCGGCTGGCAGTGGTAGCAGTCGACAAATAAACATGTCGCTTCTGGAAAGGCGATCCAAAAAAATTTAAGATGGTGATTGATTTTCGTTCTTGTCGCAAAACTGCATCCTTGAGGAGTCGGCGGGCAGGTACTACGCCATTAAGAAAGGGTTAAAGTTCCGTGCCTCAAACAGAGAGAAAACGGAGCAAAATAAACGCTCATTACGCGAGCGAGGTGACTGAGAAAATCAGAGTATCGAACCACCACTTAGTTCATGGCGAGGAAAAACAAACAATCACAGCCCGCAAAAGGCATCCACAGGTGGGTCGGAGAAATGACCGCCATGTAATTAAACAAAAAAAACTCCGTCTCTCAAAGAGAGGAGGGGGTGGAAATGAAAAATCCCTGTTAAGGGATCGTAGATTTTGAATGCTAACAAATATCGAATGCTGCCCGCTCCCAAAAATGGGCGGTATTTATATAAAAGGCCAGAAGTGGAAGTTAAACTCCCTAAAAAGCAAAAGAACCTAGCTTAAGGAGCGAACTGAAGTGAGTTGACTAACCCCTTAAATTTAAGCATAATTAAACACTAACGGTGACCGTACAGTAACTAAAAACATGTGCTGACATCAAAGCCTGCCGAAGGTCACAGGCGTGAAGGTCGGCAGACAGTGAGGCGTCACAGTAGAGGGTTCAGGGGTGTCGGCCTAATTTCTAGGTCACAATCCCAACAGAAAAATTAAGATTTGGTGACTCAATGTCACAATAGGCTATCTCACATTTAGCCCATAACAATAATAACGGACAATCAATATGGTGGACTTTGAAAATTATTGATGGGCTCGTTTCAATTGCTTTTTGACAATTTTGAATGCTATCTATTAAAGTAATGACTAAATTTGATATTTTGTGTTAGCAGTTTCCTATTTTAATCAATATATGTCACCAGGGGCAATATATGTTTCCTACACGTTTCGATTGACAATACTAACTTATAGAATAGTATTACTCTGATACTTAAATAATTGATTAAACCGAGCCGAAATACATATACAGTGAAATTTGTTGGGAAATGTTGAGCAAATATCTTTTGCAATCTACTATTTTCAATGTACTGTTTATTCCTACTTTGCATTCTTAAAAATCGCGTTGCATTTTGAACCGTCGAGTAAGGTTGGTTTAAACTTTCTATCTATACTAGTTTTAAACCATAACATCGCACACACTTGCATATGAAAATGATAAAATTTGAAACATTATTAAATTTACTGTAAAATCGCGCATAACATCAATTTTGAACATGCCCCAATACTTTTAACCATGGTAATTGCTGCTGACTAATTATTATAAAGATTCGGAAGTTACTTTGAAAGCAAAGGTTTGATAGAGGTTCATAATCATAATATAGTAGATTAAAAACGAACGCGTTATTTTCTCTCTATATAAAAGAATCGCAAGGGCCTATTTTGTGTGTTCAACTTAACGTTGCATTTTGTATTGCTGCACAAACACTATTAGAATTTAAATATTAAAAATATGAATGTGTGTGGAAAGAAGTACAAAAAATGTACACTATGGAATAAAAAAAACATCATATTCGATAATTTCTTCCAAAATTATTAACTGGATAAACTGGACGTAAAAAACACCATATGGTTCGCTGTGCAGGTTATAGGATTGAAACCACAAAGTTAAAATTTCACAAGCTGAAAAAATTAATTTTCATTTAGGAATTTTTATGAAATTTACTTCAAAATACCATTCTGTTCAAAATTAATTGCAATTTAAAATGCTTTTTTCTAGAATTTTTTTTCTCACAACTTTTTGTTTTTCATAATGATTATTAATCCATTATTGTACAAACTTTTATTTCCTTCTCTCAAGATTTTCATTTTCTTTGCTCCCGCTTGACTTGATTTCCGAAATAACATAAGTAAGTAAATAAATGAAATAAACAAATAAAAGAAGAATACATGAAATAAAGACAGCAGTTATAACTAACGTTTAGTGTTTTAGAGTGTCTTGATCTCCATTAATTAATTTTGCTTTTTTGAAATAACTTGTAGCTTTCATAACCCAACATTTGTATGATTTCGGCTCTTCCGTTTGGATTGGAATTCAGAAAGTGGAATCGGATGAAATTGGTCACGATATCGTATTTGGCTGGATCGATAATTCCAGGAGTGATTTTAAGAATTGGGCCTCCGGACATCCAATTCCAGGAACATGGGTAATTTTTAAAACTATTTCTTTCCTGGAACGATATTTAATTTTTAGAGTACTTGAAAATGAAATACACTTTATTCTTGGTCTTATATATCTCAAAATATTTTTAAAAATATATATTTTCCCCTCAATCTGATGCTTTCACAAATGAAAAATTGTTTTTGTTTTCAAAAAAAAATCTTCACAACTGGTGCTTTTGCTGAGAATATTTTTGAGTTAAAAAAAGACAATAAAATTTAAAATTAAAAATGAACCAACTTTTAATTGAAAAAAATTTTAAAGATTGAGTTCACGTTACTCTCTTTCCTCCCTGGAAACTTTTTTTAGCTGTTAGAAAAGTTAACTGGAATTAACTCGAATAACTTTTAAAAGTTAAGAATTAAAGATTTAGCACACAAAAATGCATTAATGATAGTGTGATAAAATAAAATGATTTTACTATTCGTTCGTGTAGAAGTATTTTCATATCTTAAAGGGTCTAGAGGAGTTTTTACTAATAAAGTTTTCGATTTTTTTTTTGGGGGGGGGAATATTTGTTAAAACCTGTTTTATTCTGAGCAATTCGAGAACAAGCATAAGATAAGACTTAACTAATAAACATTTTAGGAATAATATTCTTAAATAATTGTTTCTCTACTCTCCAGTGTTAAAGAATTCTTAAAAACGCGCCAAGAAGATGTTATAATTTTTTTATTTAAAAAATTTCTTATTAATGTTGTGCAAATTGTTTTAAAATAGTGTAAAATGACTACAAAAGGATAGAGAGGGAAAATATTCTGTATTGAAATGAAATATTTAAAATAAATTACTATTTTCAAAAGTTGTTTGTTTATAGCTATAGGAGAAGGCTAAAATAATTCCATTCTTTTCTTAACAACAATATGGAAAATTCATCAAAATAAGCAAGGGAATTGCTAATGAGAAAATTGAGCCAAACAGACCGAAAGAAGTTAGAAAAAGAAAATCTCAAAAAATAACAGGCTGCATAAGGAAATTAATATATTTATCCATTTGAGTTTGAAAATAAACTCATGCAGTATCTAAATCTAAATTGAAGCACGCAAGAAACAAATAGCTCATTATACAGGGTTATTCATATTCCCTCCGCCTGTAAACGCCATTCTTCAGTGGTACATGTTACTGCCATCTACCGGCAACTGCTTAAATTAAAACTCGAAAACTTTTGGAATAATTTCATATGTTCTTTTTAGCCATATTCGTCTTCGTTTTTTCGTCTTCGTTACTATAACGCTTCGAAGGGAATTATGAATAACCTTGTATAATAATAAATGAAATTAAATATGCTATCCTTTCTATTTTTACCATAAAATACCAGAAACTCTGGGAAAAAAATGTTTTAAAGTTTACTGAAATCGCATTTATTATATCATTGAAAAGCAATTATTTTGTTTAAACAATAGCGTGATCTAAATATGTTAGTTTGAAAAAATTTTTATTCTTATAATTTTTTATAGAAATATTGCGGTAGGTTAAGTTATGAAGAAGTTGCAAAAGGAGAATGGATTTCTGATTACTGCGATGTTTCTAAAAGAGGATATATATGCCAAAGAGAATCTGGTAAACACTTGATTTATATCTATATCTGCCTTTCTATGCGTATTAAAATTTTATCTGAATATAAACTATTTATTTCAGTTGGTTTTATATTTAAAAAAAATTTCAAATTAGTTTAAGTAATTGCTCACTGTATATTCTACACAACTGAAGAAAGACGATTCTAATTAAAAAAAACACCTAAAATCACATTTATTTCGAATGAATTTATAGAAGAGAGTTTACATGATTGGAATGAAATTGAAAAAAAAAGCAACCGAAATGGTAGTAAACTTCCAAAATCGTTTGTAATTGATGTTAAAATTGTTCATTAATAGCATTAGCTATAGAATGTGATTAAAATCTAGTACACACATTTAACCCCTTAACGATCGGTTAATTTTCAAGAAAACGGTCATAGAAGTGCCTATTTTGCCAAATGCACGTATTTGATTAGTGCTGACATCTAGCTTAAAGTAAACTAACTATCTACAATTACTTTAAAATTATCCTGGTACGGCTGCATCTGGTGTGTAAAATGAGAAATAAAATGTTTTCCGGGCAAAAGAAATGAATCAGTTTTATTCCTATTGGCGCGTTACTACTGAACACTCCAGCCCGGAAATTTCACGGGAGCGAGAAATAGAGGGCGAAACCTCACCCCGTAATTTTCACGGGAACGAGAAGGGTTAAGAACAATTTTGCGAAAAGCAAATGATATATGTTTCATGCAAAATTGAAGCAATTGTACAAGTCAAAATGGGCTTTTAAATTTTGTATAAACTGCAAATTACTGCTCTAAAATAATTTATCTTTCTGAAGTGCCATATCAACCTTATTTTATTCACAAATAACATTTTAAAATCAATTAAGGCAAAACGATTCTTGAAATACATCATTTTTAGCATCGTTTCCTCATTTAAAATATTCCGATCTATAAAATTAGACATTTTCTTCGAAAAAATTAGTACCTAGAGATTAATATACATACAATTTTTTAAAATATCTTTTCATGAGAAACTTTGTTATATTACTTTAAATGATACCTAAAAATTCCCCTCCTCTTTTTTTGAGGGAATAGGGGAGTAAGAGAGCTGAATTTGGCATGGGAATCATATTTTTCCATTTATTTTTTCACTCTGAATTTAATAAGATCATTTCATAGATGAATCAGACTCACAGTAAAGACTCTTGCTATCTAAACAAGTAATACATTATTTTCTACGTATTTTTCATATTGATTTGAATGATGCTATACACAAGTCAATCGAACAAAAAGTAGCAAGAGTTTTTATGCCTAAAAAGTAATTCTTTTAAAACATACTTATGTATACACTTTGCTTTGCTATCCAGGAACTACCTAAATACAAAGTATATTTCCTGTGCTGAATTTAGTGTGGCAAAATTGAAATTAAAAAGATAAGTTGTTAAAAATTTATAAGGGTTGTGTGTTCAAAAAGTACAATTTTGTACTTACACTTATTTAAGCATCTTATATTGCTAGACAGACAATTAAAACGTCGTTTTTGATGTATGTTTTTTCGTGTGATTTAATGAGACTAAACACGAATAAAAAAGGGCAATATTTCAAAAGATGACAAGTTTTTTTAAAGTACTCTATATTAAATTGCACTTATTTATAAGAAAAAACTAGATAACTTCGTAACTATTAATCCTATCAACTCGAATTTAATCTAATTCGATTCAATATAAAAAAAATGTCCTCGGAAAATAAACCTCACATGTTTAGATAGCTTTTAGATAGTAAAGTAAAATGCTAAGTGAGTCATGTCAAAAGTAGCACTTTTTACATAAAAAAGCTTTCAACTTTTGAACTATTAGTTTTATTGGCTCCTCTATCTCATTCAATTTAACGTAGAAGATACATAGGAAACAATGTCTCACTTATTTAGATAGCAATATCAGATGTGCAAATCGGTGCAAGTATACAACAAGAAACAAGGGTACAATAGCTACAAGATGCAAATAGGTATAAGATGCAAATAGGCAAACTGATGTTAAAATAGTTTTTCACGTTATCTCCAAAGACTTCGTTAAATTGATTGGTTTGGGTTAATTAAGTCCGAAGTCCAATTAAAGTCCGAATTGTATTTATAAATGTAATTCAGGAGATCTTCCTTTGGGGGAAAAATATGTTTTCCAAGGAATTTCCTTTGTATAGTACTGTTTCCTGTTTCTAAAAATTTCTCTAAGTTTGTATAAAGAGCCGCAGTGTCTCAGGGATTTGAGCCCTCGCCTCTCAATGAGATGACCCAGGTTTCCCAGCGTTAGTTGATCGATACGAATTCTATTCCCGACTTGCACCGACCAGTGCTGACTTAAAATATCCTCAGTGATAGACATATCATGGATTAGAATGCCCTTGCCGTCGGGCTAACCCAAGAAGGTTTTCGTGATTTTTTTCTCCATGTAGCGCACATGCGAATTAGTTCCATCAAGAAGTCCTCCACGAAGTTTGTCTCAATTTTAGATCCATGTGTTCCCTTGTCTTCTGGATTGAGATCAAAGTTACAAGGATATAGAATTGAATATTGATATTTGTGAACTCAGAATTAGGTCGGTTATTAAAAAAAAAAGTTCATATAAGGCTATAATACTAAAAGGAGTTTAATATATAAACATCGCATTTGGTAAAAGTGTGGTTTTTCATAATATAGCCCTAAACTGTTTCATTTATACACGTTTAGTTTGAGTACATTTTGTAATGTAATGTGTAAAATTGGAAAAAAATTTGAGATACTGAGGAAATTTTGAAGTTAAACTTGCTAAGTACTAGCCGGATATACAAAACTAGGGAATATTTCATTAATTCAATTATTTCAAACTATTTCATTAGTTCAAGGCCCTTAATTGTACTCTTTCAACTTTTGGTCATTTTCTTACTACTACCTCTTAAATCAAATTTCTTCAGCTGGAAAGTTTAAATCCTACATGATATTCTCAGCAGTAACGGTTACATCTGTGGCGTAACTACCACTATAAATATTAAATACTAATTCACTAGTATATAAGACATGTTTCTATCTTGAGGTACCTTTTGATAGATGAAGAATGATGTAGTCCATAATTCATCCCCTGTAGTATTATTCTTAATCGATAACGAATCGATTAAGCAAGATGATTATAAATTATTCTTATATGTTGGATGGCAACAGTCTGGTTGAAAAATAGATTCTCTCTTGAGGTACGTTTTGATAGATGAAGATTGACATAAGGCCTGTTTACACGGTCCAATTTCTTGAATCCAAGAAATTGGACAGATTTCTCTGTCCAAGAAATTGGATGATTCGTCGACACTATCCAAGTTCTTGAATGTCACTGATTCGTTGAAAGAAAAACTTGGGCATGCGCATTGTTCATATTCAACATTATAAAATAATACTTACATATGTTTAAAATTACTAAATAAATTCAAATAAAATCATAATAACGTAAATAAACCGCAACAGATCAATTTATTTGAACTAAAATATATGAAAACAGACAACAAAATGACATAATTTGCTGCCTGCTTGCTGACGTCACAAAACCTAAGACGCTGATTGGTTAAGAGAGAAAAAACTTGGATGGAAAGTAGAACATGCTCTACTATCGTCCAAGAAGTTGGATCAAGTTCTTGGATGGTTGTTTACACGATCCAAGCTCAAAGAAAAACAAGTTTCCATCAATATCAATCAATCTCTGTCCAAGAAATTGGATCGTCTAAACAGGCCTATAGTCTATAATTCATCCCCTGCAGTATTATTCTTAATCGATAATGAATCGATTAAGCAAGATGATTATAAATTATTTCTTATATGTTGGATGGCAACAGTCTGGTTAATAAATAGAACAGCTATGGTGAATAAAATATTTGCTTACCTTCCGAATAAGTCTCACTTGTATTAAGATGATAAAACACTTCACATCCCTTAATAATCCAATGAGTATCGCAAGTTTTTGTAGCATATGAGATATTATTAATTATGTTTGCTATACTTTTATGATGTCTTTTCATGTTACGAGTTTATGAGTTATATTAATATGATATTTTTTTTGTATTAGATCCAAGTTTACCAAAACCAGATCCTGAACCATCTAAGTGTAATAAAAACTCTGTCGGATATCGTAACTCGTGTTATCGGTATTTCCCTACACCAGAAACACAAGTGAAAGCTGAGAAGTCTTGCCAAACTCTAGGGGGACATCTCGTATCCATACAAGATGGTTTTGAGCAATCCTTCCTACATAACTTCATTCCAAAATCACAGTCAGTTTGGACAGGTCTATCGTCAATTAAAGTAGGTATCGAGGTGAAATATTAAAAAAATATCTTCCACTTAACGTAGGATTTGTTTTTATTACGTTTATACTTTTTCATCATTTAAACGTCAAACCGACAGCCGATGCGTTTACCAAGAATGGCTGTGATCTTCCTATGGACTGTTTGTTCGCACCCCCACCGCCTGTTTAGGCAGTGGGGGTGCGATTGTTCCTGTTTTTCAGTGGCGCCATCTATGGCCAAGAATTCGACTTCTGCCTCGCCATTCACACAACCACAACCCGTTTATAGGGCGGATCACACATTCACACACAAAGGAGAAAGGACATAGAACATACAGAGAGAGAAAGAAACGTCCATGCCTGCCCAGGATTCGAACCCAGGACCTTTCTGATGCAAAGACAATTCCCTGCCCCCTACACAGACCGGTCGGCTCTGTACTAATTAATCAGCATATTTGAGACCATCCCTTCGAAACATTAAGATTGAGTCCTAAAACGTGAAGATCCGAAAATTATATCAAAGTTATTCAGAGTAGTCAGTTTTTTTTCCCGCACTAAAAACTACTTACATTATTGTAGTTTTTAGTACAACTCTGTATAAAAAGTTTTCCACTCACAAAGATTGAGTACGAGACTAAGTGTTTAGTGTTATTTTTCAAAAATGTGATTTTACGAAACGTGACAAAAGCAAAACGCTGTTAATTGGATGGAAATTTAAGAGAAGAATCTACTGTTGACCAGAAAGATTTTGAAGAGCTATAAATTTCTTTTTAAAAAATATTTTGAATAGATTTCAAAACATACGGACCAATTTAAATTTTTTTTTACATGTTTTCATTTTCTTGCTATCTATAACTTTGCTCAGGTGGCCTAGCGTTCAGCGTGCCTGACTGTGAAGTCATTGGTAACGGGTTCGAATCCCGCTCAGAGCATGGATGTTTTTCTCTCTCTCTGTGCTGTTCTCCGTTGTGTGATGTACGAATGTAGCCCACCCTATAAACGGGTACCTGTGGCAGTGTAGCGTGGGTATTGTTGCTCGCCTCCGTGACTTAGTCTCACAGGTGCCCACTGGGTAACGATAAATGAGCAACACTTCCAGCATCTTCCGAGATGAAGAGTCCCACAGTGGACTGATCGTTAAGACACGGTTCCCAGAAGATCACCGAAGTCAAGCATCACTGGCTGCGGTCAGTGTACGGGTGGGTGACCACTTGGATCAGTCTGCGTAAGGACCGAGGGTGTGCGGTATTGGTCCTCGTTAAACTGCTCTACCGTAAAGTGCTCTTCGCGTGCAGGTCATCGGGCTATCGAAGCAGGGGAGCCATCCCCTCTGCAGAAGATCAAAATTGCGATGGTAGGTCTTCGGATCATCCTCAAGGATGTTTCCCAGACCGTCGCCAATAGCCCATTGTGCAACTCTGTTTCGACGTAAATGAACTACTACTACTACTACCGAGATGAAGAACAAAAGTTCAGTGCCTGCCGTAAAAAAAATAGTCACTTTGCTCAGTCTATTCCTTTTTAAGCCACATGAATTAATTATTTTGAAACTCAGCAAGAAAAACTGTTTTTTTACTACTACGATTCATATAAGCTAAATTCTATTATTTAAATTTTAATACAACAGATCAATCATTTCAATCTGTACAGTAGTTTTTTAGAACGCTGAAACGAATTCCTAAACTTTCAACTTTCTGTTGCATTTATATTTATAACTTCCTAATGTTATGATGTTATTTTGATTCATTCTATAATTTTATTTTGTAATGCTATAAAGTTCAGTCGAGCAGGCAATTATTTCTAACAAGTTGAAAGATAAATTGTAAAATAACCAAAAAGAACTAGCAGCGTTAACTGCTAAAAATTGTTAACGGATCAATTTAAATATTCAGGTTCAGAGAGAAATAAAATAAAAAATTTATGTCAACTTAAGTAGTTATGCAACGTATATTTTAAAATTAGTGTATATAAAAATATATAATGCATACCTTCAATGGAACGTATATAGTATTCTACAATTCATTGCAATTTTGCTTATAAGTAAGATAAGGTAGAATATTCACATCATTTTATTTAATTCCACAAAATTAGATTCGAAATATATTTTTATCTCCAAAAAATTTAATTATTTAATAGCGAGGCGCATGGTTGACAAGTACAAATTAGCATTAATGTGATACACACACAAACATAGAGTAGAAAATACAAGACATACAACAATGAAGAAACATAGGACACCATCTGGCGTTATTTAAAAAAAAACCTTTGTCGCATCACAAAACTCATGTTTATCAAAACTGTTTTAACCCACATGATTAAACACATAAAAAACTGATTAAATGTATGAAGTTTCCAAGCAGAATATTTATTTTCGATTTTTACAACTACCCTACAAAAATCTAAACTCATTACTCTTGAAAGAAAATTTTTTTAAATACCCTTTATTATCTGATACGATTTTGTGTGATTTTAATTTTGATTCCTGATTATGGATTGGAAGTATATTCGTTTGATTTCTTTCGAAATCCCTAGATTATTCTGGGAGAATTTTTATCTCACGGCTACCAAGTACAATTAACTCTTCATTTATAAAAAAATATTTAGTAAAACTTTATGACATTCACAAAAAACTTTGAAGTGAGTAATAACCATATATTCATTCTCCTGTTAGGGCACTTGGTACTTCCGATGGAGTGATAAACAACCTGTGTATTATTTCAATTGGGTTGATGGGCAATCTGTGTTGAATACAACAAAACCATTCTGTGCATATTTAGATGGTAGGAACGTACTCAAATGGAAAACTGCCGATTGTTCTACAGAATTACCATATGTTTGTGAAATTACAGATGGTAAGCTATTTAATTTTATTACCTCAAATAAAACAAAACTAAACTCAGTGGCACGATGGCCCATAGAGAGCCAAGGGCTATTGTGCCCATCTCAGTTTTCTTGAATTGCAGGAGCAGATGTTCCGGTTAGGTGGCCAGCCAAATGCGGAACCCCCAATGTTTAGTTCCCAAGCATGCTTGGTACTCATTTATCGACCCACTGAAGGGATGAAAGGCTGAGTCAACCTTGCCCGGTCCGAGAATGAAACACAGGACCTGTGACACGGGAGAGCGAAGCGCTACCTCTAAGCCACCAGGCGTCATTAATAGTACCTCGGATAAATAACTGGAAAAAAACCTTCATAAAAATATTAATTTACTTAGATCATCATGCTTGAAAATGATTCTTATTTTAATACTTTTAATGACAATAGTCTTGATGATTCCATGGGGAAAATTTTTTTTAAATGAAATTGAAATTTAAAAAATCTGAAAACTGAGAAATGTGTAGTTTTAAATTCTTTTCTCAAAACCACAAATTGAATAATTTCATTGCGTTTAAGTTTATAAGAATAAAATATAAAAGTTCGAGAAAGTATCAAGCGCTAGTTCTACTAATTTAATGACCCCCTTTTTTTCTACCTTTTATGAAAGGTATTGTGCTGTCTAATAATACAATATAATCAAAAGTTAAGTACAAAAATGTAAGGAAAACCCAAATTAAAAATTTAACCGAAAATCGAAGATTGCGGGTATAGAGACCTCTTAATATTTTTACATGTAAAAAATAGTGAGATGTAAAATTGCGTGTCAAAGAGATTTTGCGGATTACGTTCGTATTTTTGTTAAATAAAAAATAATTTAATTTGTAAAATTTTAACTGAAATGAAGAAATAATATGAGTAGTACAAAGTATACAATTCAAAACTACATACTTGAAGAACCGAAATGTTTAGTTTAGGATGTTAATGTACAAATTCGAATGCGTTCATTTTTATGCAAATTACTGGAACATATAAATTTTATATATAGCTGGAAAGTATAAAAAATATTATTTTCAAGATCTTGAAGTAATTAAAAAATATAGAGATTCAGAATATTACTTCGCGAAATATTAGAATCAGTATTTTGCATTAAATTGAGCATGCAAAAGGAACCATAGCTTTAATATTCATTTAAATTTATTTATTTTTTATCACACGATTTCTAAATTAAATTTGGTGAAAGAAAAAGTATAAATAATACGATTTCGTAATGTCACGTGCAGGACAAAATGCATTCCTCAAAAATTTTTATTTGTGAAAAATTTTTAAATTTTAATAAAATTTATTCAATAGGAATGCTAAATCAATGTTTAAAGCTTGAGAAAAATAAGTCATTTAACTGGTTTAAGAGAAAAACTCTTCTTTTCTTACACGTGCGAGTCAGCTATTGTATGTAACTTCAACTATTTATTTTTTAAACAAAAAGGTATTTTAATTTCACTAAAGAGTAAGAAAATTAAAAATTGTTACTAACTTGATTTATATGTAGTCGATTAACTATTCAAAATGAAGTTTCATGATTTAAAGTTGATCCTAAACGAACAGTAGTTTCAACTGCACATCAAGAGTCTATCATAACAGTAATACTTGCCACACTGTTGCCTATCAATAGAAACAAATTTATTAAAAACTACTTGAAGTTCAAGTTATTTGAACCTTTACTGATTGTTATACGTCTTAGTATCAAAGTCCGGCAGTGGACTGATCGTTAAGACACGGTTCCCGGCAGATCACCGAAGTCAAGCATCACTGGCTGCGATCAGAGTGGGAGTGGGCGACCACTTGGATCAGTCAGTGTAGGGACCGAGGGTGTGCGGTATTGGTCCTCGTTAAACTGTTCTACAGCAAAGTGCTTCGCTTGCAGGTCGTCGGGTTACCGAAGCAGGGGTGACATTCTCTCAGCTGAGGATCAAAATCGTGATGGCATGTCTTCGGATCATCCTCAGGGATGTTTCCCAGACCATCGCCAATAGCCCATAGTGCAGCTCTAGTGCGATGTAAATAAACTACAACTACAACTTAGTATAAGGAAAAAAAATATTTTTTTTACAAATTTGTTTTTACTTTTTTCTCTCACAACATCTGCTCTTGCACCTCAGAGCCCAAAGATCAAGAAAACTGAGATGGGCACAGTAGGCCTCGGCCCTCCGTGGGCTGTCGTGCCACTGAGCTTAGTTTCAGTTTAGTACTTTTATGGAAAGACTTCTGCTTATTTTGAAATTCATCAAAAAAAATTTTTTTCATGATATTTGATGAAATTGTTTTCAGATATTGCACCGTCGTTTCCTGAAGTTATAGGAACTTGTGACAGCACGGAATCTACATGGGTTGATATAGGAGATGAGTTTTGTTACCATGTAGGAAAAGACAAGAACCATATTCTCAGCTGGGATTCTGGATTGCGTTATTGTCTCTCAAAGGGTAACAATTTGCTGTTTTATACATCTGTAATGTGCCGACCGGCCTGTGTAGGGGGCAGGGAACTGTCCTTGCATCAGAAAGGTTTTGGGTTTGAAGGATGTTCTTTCCTTCTCTGTACTATCAGTCCTCTGTGTGGGAGCGACGTTGGCCCACCTAACATGGTGCCCCTGAAAAGGAGGCCAACAAAATCGCCCTGTAAATGCCTGAATTGACGGATGTTAACGCGGGTGGGCATTGGAAAAAGAAAAAAAAACGTCTCTAATGTCACTATAGAGTCATTTTTGTTGTATCGAACTTTAAAGTTGTTAAGAGTTCATCTATTTAAAGAATTGTAAAAACAAACTGCATTTTAAACTGTTGTTTTCAAGTATTTCAAAAATATTTGTTACAAATGATACTAAGTAAAAGTGGGTTGAAAGTAAAGTTATTATTAATTTTTTGAAATCTTTTCCGAGGTATTTTCAACAATTAATTATGAAATTTACAGTTTGGCATGTAAAAACGCAGAGTTAAGAGACACATTGAACTTCTTATATCTTTACGAGTCAAACAAGGAAGAAAATCTATTATATATAATTCTCTTACGTGGCTCCCAAATTTTGGCTGTATTTCTTTTCCGCCGGTGGCAACGTTTGCTTTGTTTTGAAAACACCAAAGCATTCTGCCTTTTAATGATGTGTTTCTGATATAATATATATAATTCTCTTACGTGGCTCCCAAATTTTGGCTGAAGTACTTTGTACAACTAAATAAGATTCTTTTCACAACA